GTGATTAGTCAAACAGATTCTCTAATGCTGTGTTTCACAATGTGTAAAATGTCTATATTATGGAACTTGAGTCATTACAATATCCTAAAAAGGTCAATTGAGGCAAAAAAGCCCATTTTAGCCCATTTGTTTCACAGCAAAAACATGAAAAACGAGACATTCCCGTAGTGCGTTTTTTAAAATTTGCATCACGTTAACAGCAGCAACAAAACAATTCTCTGGGCAATATGGCAGACATATTCATATTAAAAAATGAAACATAAGGGAACATCGTCGAGCACATTTCACTATGTTTAAGCTCAAAGCATCCTTGATGAAAACACGGGGTCCACCTTCTCTCGTCCCATTAGAGAGAATTCACCTTTTTGACACAGCTGCTGCAGTTTGGGAGTGCTGTGAGTCAGAGAGATGGTGACTCGAGTTTGTGACTTGGTCTATAGTTGCACCTAATTTGTACAGTACAGTGACTCGACAATTGACTTGAGACTCGACTCAAACAGACGACTTGGGTCGATCTTGTGTACGATCTTTATTCTTCTTTTTTGTTTTTGTTTGGTGCAAAAACATTACTAATAATGTCTGACAAACTGAATGTTATTCCCCTTATTATCATGTGTAACCTTACGCATCTGGTAGGCATGTCACTGCATCAACAACACCATTGCAAGCACAGCTCTGCGGTGCTATTTGTCATAACCTTTGGCTATAATAACACAAGGCCCAGATGAAAGAAGTACTTGATGCAAAATGAAGGGTACTGGATCGGACACATCAAACTCCATCAGGCACCTAAAACCGCACCGGGGTACGAGGGTCACTTAATATGTGAACGTAAACGTTAGCACCTATGGATGGTTAGCAAACATGTTTAGGGATATAACATTAGCTTGCTACGAGCTAGGGAGGTTAACTTGATCTGCGTTGGCTGAATATTTGATGAATGTTTGTTTGTTTGCTGACTATAAAATCTATTCCAAATGTGTCTGCTTTCAACAGGCAGGAGGGATAAACAATTGTTTACTGATGTTATTTAGTTTATACTTAAACTTTCTTTCCTGCTTTTTCACAGTCCTGTTCCTGGACCCAGGTCTGGGGGACAGGGTTCCCAATATCACTGCTAACGGATCGACAAGTCAAGCTCTTCCAACTCCTGTGGAGATGAAGACCAAGCTGGACCGGTATTCATCGTTCAACATTTATGAAACCAACCTGGAATGGCAAATCTTTAACCGCTCTCTCCCAAAAGGAGCAATCTCAATCCACAACCAATATGTTGGACGCGTCGACTATGTTTGCCAATTCTTGTGCAACGCCGGCTTCTACAGCCCTGGCATCGATCCTTACTGCCACTACTCCTACAAAGGGAAAGAGTACAATAGCTTTTTATGGCCATTTCAAATCCTGGTAAACAAAGACAACTTTGAGATTATGGAATGGAAGGACGGCTCCTACGGATCAGTGCCTCAGAATTCAGTCAGCACCTGCTCCAAAGGAGTATATGTTGGGATGAACGAGTATGGTCTTGGAAAAGTGGATGTTAAAGATAAGGTCTTCTACCTTCCCTGGGAAGGTTCTGAGTATTGGTACAATACCTACCAGGTCCTGACCTTTAGCAAAGATATTTACAGTGAGCACTTGTCTGATGTCAAGTATAAGACTGATGGGGTCAAACCCATTGACTATCCTCCAGAGACCATGCGCAAGTCTTCCGTCACCAACTACCAGTGCCAGACAGTGACAGCAACAGCAACAATCTCAAAGACATACCAAGTGGAGGAAAGGTGGGACACCAGCTTTTCTATCACGGTAGGCGTCCAGACTAGCATCACTGCTGGAATCCCCGTTATTGGCTCCGCAGGTATTGAGTTTAGCGAGGAGACGACCCTCCAGTTCACCACGGGGACAACTTATATTGAGTCGACCACCCACACTGTTGCTGTTGAGTGCAAAGTCCCATCAAACTACTCCTGTGGTGTCAATATGGTGGGGTATAAGTACGGGGCAGACATCCCTTACACTGCACGCCTCACCCGCACCTACAGCAACGGGAAGACCACATGGACGTCCATCTCTGGGACCTACAAAGGCGTCCAAATGGGAGAAGTCCGGGCTGTGGTGGATCCCTGTGAGCCTGTACCTGATCCCACACCCTGTCCCTGAAAGAATGATGGAGGCTCAATGAGATTCAATACCTAATAAATTGTATGTTGGATACACGTAACAATGTAATGATAAGAAAAAAGTAAGTCTCCTGTTATGTTTTATATGCCTTGATATATTTCATAAGACAATAAAAGTACTTGGCTTATAACTAATTGTTTCTGCTTTTATTTAACAAATTGTTTTCCAGGCAACAAATGGAAGTCGTGAAAAATTAGATATTAAATATTCAATCAAGTAGAGCGTGTAGTCCTCTAATCAGATGATCCGTGGTTCAATCCCCGGCTCGTCCACATGTCAAAGTGTCCTCGGGCAAGATACCGAACCTCAAATTGCTCCTGAAGGCTGTGCCGTTAGTGTGCAAGTTTCCTTGAATGTACATTAGTTTACATCCTGATGAGCAGAGTTAAAATATCTTCAAAGTGTCACTTGCAGTGTTGCATAGTTACAGGTTACTGTTTCTGTTGGTTTTCGTTTGGGGGGACTGTGCTCTTGTCTCGTCCAGGACGGCCTCGGAAAAGAGAATGTAAATCTCAATTGGACTTTCCTGGATAGATAAATCTTAGATAAAAATATATTAAAATAAAAATGCACTTTCTGTATGAACAAGAATGAGACAGTGATCATTCTTCACGTTGGGGAAAAAGGTCAAAAGTCAGCTTTTTGGGGTTGAATCTTGGTCCCTAAATTCTATTTTTTTGTTCTTACAATGAATAATCTGTGAAGATACTTAGCGGCATGAAGGAGCTCCATACATGGAAAGCTGTTATGAGGACACCCTTTACATTGGCAGGCAGCAGAGGGCAGCAACACACTGACCGAGGAATGAAGCTCCAGAACCAGGTTTGGTTCTAAAATGTTGGATTCAGTCTTTTCACCGGCATTGAGTATGAATCCTTTATAGATGTTTGTACACGTTTGTATTGTTTTCTTTAATGGTCACAGGGTAGAGTTTTGTTGTTAGTTTTTATGAATGATCATTTTAATTGAAATACCTAAATAAATCATGGTGGTTTTATGTGATTATTAAGCAGGTTATTGATTCATTAAAGCGATTTGAATGGTATTGCACTAAAGCACAACATTCTTGGTATAGGAGTTTGAATGCGTGTGTCGGCCATGTTGGAGGGAACATAGTGAGGTTAACGGGACGCTCTGGTGGTCCAGTGAAATGGTTTCATCCTGCAGCTTTACTGCAGCTCTCAATGGCACTTAACCAGAGATGAATAAAACATAGACTCCCATCTCTCTCTCTCTCTCTCTTACCGGCATGAAAGATGGTCAAATGCCACAGAGATCTGAAATTCAGCGAATAAACACAAATAAATCAGGAACGAAAACAATTGTGTAAAAAGGTCAGAAGATCACAGGTCACGCTCTGTGCGGAGCAGATTCTGCAGTCTACGTCCATCAGAAGGTCAGAGGGAGGGAGGTTTAGGCCAGCCTGCACTTTGCTGTGCCCTTGAAGGTCCCGTCGGGCTTCATTTCGGCTGAGTGAGCTGTTCCGCTCCAGGGACGGACGCCTGTGCTTCAGGGTGACAGCGATCGGGGCACACTGCTCATTAAAGCCAGCTGGACTACACGGCCGTGCATGTTTTAATGAGGTACCGACAGTAACGAGGAGCTCCGTGCCTGAAGCTCACTGAGGTTAAGTTCGTATCTGTCACTCACACGCAGATATAAAGTACTACATGGTTTGTATGTTTGTATGTGTACATGCTTCTTCCAATAGATTAATGATATGATGCAATGTGTGGAATATGTGGTCTTAATGTGCTTCAGTACATGTTTCTTTGTTCGTCTGTTTCTTCTTTATTTACTCGTATGGAGGCAGCTGTAATGACAATATGTCATGTGTCTAAGACAATAAAGTATATCATATCCTATTTCATGTCTTCAACAGTGTTTTAAATACCAGTAGTAAAAACATTCTCTTTAGGTTTATACATGTTTAATGCTATTTTATTCTATCTTTAGTCTTAATGCTTTTGACAATATTAGGAGTTAAATGCACACCTGACTAACTGAGCTGTTATATTATAGAGCACAAAAAGACACAAAGACACACCGCTGTCGTCTGCTAAGTGAGGCTGTGCGTGTTGTACCGACTCAAACTTTTTTCTGCAAAGTTGTGCACGAAAATTTCAGATAATTTGGATTATGACCCCGCTGCATGCAGTAGCAATCCAGCAATGACAAAAGAAATCAACGTTAATGTCGATATCTTTATTTTCAAGTGATATAACACAATGAATCCTCTTCTGTATAACAAGTGCATTATGTTTCCTGCGGTGCAGAGCTGAATCGGTTCCAGCGAGTGAGGTGCGGATTGCATTAGCGCCCGGGGTTGCACGCCCGGCTGAGCACATGGGACGATAAGCGCTCATTGTCATATCAGAGGAGCAAAGCTGCCGTGTTCGTAATGAAAGATGCATGGCCTTTATCTCGGAATCGCATTTGCATTCCGGAGCCTCATCTCACCTGGCATCTCACGGCAGCATGACGGCATCGGCTTCGCTGTGCGGCTGGAACTGGAGGGTCACAAGCACTTTCCACTTATCAACCAATGAGTCCATTAGGTGCCATTAGTCCTGTCTAAGTGATGGAAAGACGAACCTTTCCCTTTCTTTAACTTTCTGTTTTTGTTCTGCACACAGCTCTGGATTGGTTGAAGGTAAGTTCACATGGCCTCTGTCCGTTCAGCAGAACATTGGGAAGATCTGGAGATCGAGCTGTAACTAGAAATCAGTGGGAACTGCCGAATGACTATAGTTTAATGAAAAGAAAGCCAATCTGGTTAAAGTTATTTATAAATACTGTTGCTCTCAAAGTCTAGCCTCCTCTTGCTGCTACTTGGTTAAAGTATGTTACACTGAGGAACTGAGTGGGAATGCTGTCCACTCTCACAGATGGAGCGTAATTAGCCAGGTTAGTTTTGCTAATGTGACGTATTTGAGACACTCTTTGGCAGACGGAAACCTCTAGTTCTGCCGAGTGAAGTCAGAGCTTCATGTGTTAAAGCTGCATTCTCTCTAGTGTCCACCAGGGGGCGACTCCTCTGGTTGTATAGAAGTCTATGAGAAAATGACTCTACTTCTCTCTTGATTTATTACCTCAGTAAACATTGTAAACATGAGTTTATGGTCTCAATCTCTAGTTTCAAGTCTTCTTCAATACAGCATGATGTTCATTTAGTACATTATGATCCATTTAGAGTCACACAGACCATAAAGCAGGGGATGCTTTAGGACGGGGCTACACAGTGATTGACAGGTCTCTACCAGAGACGTATATGGCGTCTTCACCACGGTGCCATTCGCGGAGGTTGCCGTTTAGTCCAATCTGCTGCAACAAGAGTTAATTAAAAGTAATTATCTTGTCAACACAAAACAAGAAAGATACCATTTTGGGACATTAGTGCTTCATACATTTCAAGTAGATGGCTAAAACTAGTTGTGTTGTGGGTCGTCTCCTTTGCTGCTACCGCTCCCTGTTAGGCCCTCCTGTGTCTTCTGTGACTCGTCTTTCTTGAAGGTAATGAATGCTGACCCGCTGTCGCCTCCGGGCCTCGGTCTGCCCACTGGTTCTCTGCGTGCCCTCTGATTCATCCGCTCCCCTCACGCTGATGTTTGTGTCACTGGCTATGCTAATATCCTGAACAATATGCTAATAAAGGCCCGATGAATATTCATTGACCTATTGGAATACATTCAGGATGACAGTTGGGGAGCTGAGACTCGATGTCATTGGAGGAAATAAGGTAGGACTAAACTTTGTTACAGTTCAGCCTAAAGTTCCCCTCAGGATGACTCAGCAGGTGGCCTGCAGGTGGAGAACGAGGTTGCTGGTTTGATTTCCAGAGAGAGTTGGCAGAAAGACCTCTGACCATTAACAAGTAAACTCAAGACTGATCCAAGGTTTCATATTTATACCACCTGTAAGTAAATGGACTGTACTTGTGTAGCGCTTTTCTAGTTCTCCGACTCAAAGCCCTTTAACTCTACATGTTCATTCAACCATCACGCCATTCATACACTGATGGCTACCAGACAAGGTGTCACCTGCCCATCAGGACTCTACATAACATTCATACTCATTCACACACCACAGGAACAGCCTGCGGGGGGCAAAGGACACGGACACATCGCACGACAACATTGATTTATTTGTGACGTAACTCTTCTGTGGTTACTTTGACTCAAATGACGATCTTTTCCAAAACCTAACTAACTATATCGCAAACTATTTCTAAACCTAACTAAGTAGTTTCCTGTGAAGACGGAACTTTATTTTGAAAAGACTGTATGCATGTAGCAAGTTGAGATTTAAACGTGTTGCTGGACTTTTCAAAAGAAAACGCATGAAAAATTATTAACTCTTCGTATGATATCATACGAACCGTTGTGTGAGGAAACATTGCCCGGTTTGAGAAAGGCCCTTTAACTGAACGTGAAACACAGAGTTTGCTGTTCAGAAAGTGTCAGTTGTTTCTTTGACCTTCACTTTGTTAAAGTGATCGGACAATTAATTTCCTTTTTTTTTTCACCTGGAACCTCATCTGCATATCTTAATAGCCTGACCTTAACTGTGACAAAGCTTTTAACCTTCATCTATTCACAGAACACTTTTCCGAGCATGGTGGGAGCTTCCCAGTACAGCCTGTCTGGTCATGCTGGTCTGTGTGGAGCTCCACCGCAGCAGCTGAAGGAGTGCCTTGCTAAAGGGCACAGTGTTAGTGTTCACTTTCCACGCGTTTCCCCAACATGTCATATTTGGAATATATTGACCTCGACTGGAAACGGATGGAAGTTTCTCAGGATATTAAAAAAGTTTATGTTTACTGTCATCAGCTCACAGACCAAGAGGGGGAAAAGAAACCATTTTGCAGGTCATATATATATATATATATATAATGTACATATATATATATACCTGCAGGGGTAAGGATTAACCAGGTGTGGACACTTAAGTCTTTAAGTTCAACATAGAAATACTACATCTACAATCACATCAAAGACATACAAAACTAGAAGGGCACTCGGAGAGCACAAACCTACGCCACGAGGCCATTTCCATAACTGAAAGAAATACTGCTTGTTTCCGCTCTGTGATTCGGAT